TTGATTCTAAGTCACGTCAGATTCAAGAGGCTTTTTTACTGGACTGATATTTTGGATTGCCTTGCCTCTGTGCAGCTTGCCTATCTTGCTCGCCAGGTGTTTATCTGGACAGCAGCTCTCGCCAACGACAATGAGTCGCTTGAAAACAACAACGCACGAAAAAGCACTTCCAGCTAGAACAAAAAGTCCAAAATTTTTCACGTCGACAGGTGTCAGTACTGTGAACACTCTCTCTTGGAAGTCAAACGCGGCAAAATGATGGGTTTTCGTGGCGCATCGGCTGGGTCTCTGGGCACCCACTGTAATGCGCTTTTAACCCCGACATATTCCCAACAATTTTATTCATCTCTTACGTCCTTTGCAGAAAGATTTAAATCGGCTATTGCACTGCGCCATGGAAAAAGACAGTTCGCTCATACGTTTCGCATCTTGCTTCAAAAAGCGACAATCTATCTATGTCGACAAATTTGAGCATGCAGATGCATGAGGACTTCTATTTCAGGTAAACACGCGCCAGGGTGGCCGACTAGATACTCTTCGCTCGAGTGGGGGGCCAATTTGACCACCCTGAGATCTCGGGAACTAAGAAAGCTAGAGATATCAAATCTACATGGTGTGTTGATCTGCACGTTAACTTACTTAGGTCAAAGTTTGAGATTCCTAGGTCATGATCTTCGGGTCAAAAAAGTCAAACAAGGTCAATTTCCAGGTTGGCTCTTAAGTGCCCCGCACAACCTAGATAACCATTTATAAGCAAAAGTTCACATGTTCATTTCATGTCAGTGACCTTGTTTGACCTTATTAAGGTCAAGATGACCAAAATCATACAAGATTGCTTTGAGTTTTGCATTCGACTAAACAACAAAAATTACGCTAGGCAGTATGTTCCTAAAACAAAATGTTAACCTGGATCATTTTAGGTCAATGACCTATTCTGACCTCTAAGAAGTTCATGAAAGGTGTATAATGCGGTTCCTGCTATCGATAAATTCAAAATGAGCACCAGAAACTATTCCATACAGCAAGCAAGGGTAACAAAGCAGGCTGGTTTTGACCTTGGCGAGACCTTTATAACTGACGTTAGGTCAATGCAATTTACTCATTTATCTGTTGTGTCGCCTAAGAAAGTATCTCAGATATGCATGGCTTCGTCTAGCACTCCGTTGTTGGATCATATTGAAGGATTCCCTAGAAATTGCCTTCGCTGAAACCATGGCCTGACTTTGACCTGCCATATGTCAGCGACCTTACAAGTTGTATCTAAACTTTTTATGCCAAACGATCCACTGTTCAATTGTCTACAGCTCACCAAATTTAGCGCGGCTGCGCCGTGCCGTTCGGAAACCATTTTGGAAAAACCTCCGGGGGGTCAATTTGACCCCCATCCGAGCGCGTGTTAAGATCCGTCTCTGTTGTCTCGCTGAAACCAAAAACAGCAATTAGTCTGCAAAACTCAGGCATGAGCTGACACGGCATGTGTGGCAGCACCGCAGAAGACCGTTACCGAGGTATGCCCGCTTGCAGGCCATTTGCACCACATAAGGTCTGTACGACGGTGGAAATCCTTGTACGGGCCGACCAGCAGGGATCGCTCTGGAATGCTCGTCTTTGGTCAAGATGCAGGCCGAGCGGACATTGTGCGGGTCACGTGGCGTTGTTGTGCTGAATGCTCACATGTTTGCTGCTCCTGCGTTACTGTCAAATGTTGAAAGGACTTCACTTGCCGGAAACACGTTTGTGTGGTAGGTTAGTGTGCGCAAGACTAGCCCTGGGTTTGGATTTAACTCAGAGGGATTCTCGTGTGATATGACAAGCCATTTCGCTTATCTCCGCAGCGGCCAGGTAACTGTGTAATTCATTACAGCTAAGGCTGCTGAAACTCAAGCTCCAGCAGTCTCCTCGGCTTGCTTGGAAGTTAGGGCACTCATAAATTAGTAGCATTCTGGATTATATACACCATTTAACTGCTAAACTCATGGATTATTAGTTGCTATGATTTAGTGAACGACCACAAATAACGGCACGCACACAGATACAAGTGATGTAATTGATATAAAAATTTGGATAGGAAACTGTGCACTATAGTTAAATAAGTGCAAAGACTTTCTTTCACGGCTAATGTCTTTCAGCTAATACTCTGAACATCATCTATTTGTATGTTCTATTTGTACATGGTCACTAAATGTATCAGGATGTATTGCACCGGGTTTGTTCCGCGCATTGCTGAGAAGCATCCAGTTGCACAGTTCTTAAGAGTCTGTGTTGGCTTCCGTAACTCCAGACTCCCGAACCATTGAGAGCATGGTCAGCGGTTGCAGCCCGACCCACTGGATCACAACCAACGGCTACAGCCCCATACACTGGATCACAGCCAACGGCTGCAGCCCCATACACTGGATCACAGCCAACGGCTGCAGCCCCATGCACTGGATCACAGCTAACGGCTGCAGCCCCATACACTGATCACGACCAAACGCTGCAGCCCCATACACTTGGCCACAGCCAACGTCTGCAGTCCTATGCACTGGATCACGACAAATGGCTGCAGCCCCATACACTGGATCGCGACCAACGGCTGCAGTCCCACACGCTGGATCACGACCAACAGCTGCAGACCAATACACTGGATCACGACCAACGGCTGCAGACCAACACACTGGGTCACGACCAACGGCTGCAGACCAGTACAGTGACCGGACGGGATGGGCGATCCTGGACCTTAACCAAGAGAGGTCCGATCCGACCGAGTGGTGGCCGGGATGCCGCCGGGCGCGGCAGAGCCACCCGCCTACACTTCATAAAAGACTTCCCGTAACTAACAGAAGAGACGAGGACTGGCAGCGCTATCAAAGCCTACGCATAGACAAGCCACATTTTACCGAGTCAGGAGGGTAGTCGTAAGCCTAGAGCTGACATCAACTGCTACTTCTGAGCAACGAGCCATACCTCGACATCGCCCAGGTGGGTGCTGCTATAGACAAGCGCTCGCAGTCGGCGAACATTTTTACGCGGAGGAAATCAGGCGTGCAAGGTATGAACCTGCGACACGTTTGCAGTCAGAATATAAACAGAAAACTCCACGAAATAACTACATGGTAAGAAATGACCACCCGAAAAAAGAAAATCATGACTGCTGTTCAGGTGAACAAGGTCACAGCATGGCAACGAAACATTGCAGAACAAAGGAACAGAAAGGAAAGTCTGTGACAAGTCGACTTTATCCTCTTTTAGCACACCTCAAAATTGTCGAAAGCCAGTCGCTGCGGGGACGGGAGCTACAATGCAGGCCTAAGCACGTGGGCCTTAGTAGTCCAATCACTGACTGTAAGAGTACGCTCCTGCGACCAAGTGAGGTGCAATGTCTGATTGCCAAGATATGTGCACCCGCTGAACATGAGGCGATAGCATCGCCTCGGAAGTAATGCTCGGAGGAACATCTCATCCGGGCAGCTGCAAGCCGCCGAGACAGCTGCGCTAGCCGGTTGCAGTGACGGTGGTTGGAGACAGAATAAAACACATGGAAGAAGTCTTGTAGGCAAAATATACCGATAGCAAGGCACAATGCTTCGGTGAGCGATACCATGGAAGTATAGTATCGGGTCGTTTTTCTTTCAATGCGTGGAGAAAAGAAATCCTCCAACGTAGCAGCATCTAACCGACGTCGATCGAGACCGTAGACAGTTGGCCGAGTCCTACCGAAGATCTTCACCACAGTCCTCATAGCTGTAGCCTGTCCCCAGACGAGCCCCACCTGTCAGGCACAGAGACGTCTGAGGCAGCAGTTCTCAGTGCGCACGCCACGATAATACCTTCAGACCCGCTCCTGGCTCGGGGATGGACCCATGGGAAGTACCCAAGGGGAAGACCGGGACGGCAACGACGAGGGGGACCAGCCCCTGACCAAGAACCAGGCTCAGGGCAAGAGCAGGGAGAGGACATCTGACCCAGAGCCGGACCCAGGAGGGAGGGGGGGGGGGGAGAAAAGAGACCGGTCCCTGACCCAGAGCCAGACCCTCGAGCGGGTGGGGCAGGAAGGGTAGCGGCCCCTGACCCAGAGCCAGGAGGGGGAGGGCAGGGAGGGTACCTTCCCGTGACCCAGAGCCAGGAGGGAGGAGGGCAGGGAGGGTACTGTCCCATGACCCAGAACCAGGAGGGGGAGGGCAGGGAGGGTACCGTCCCATGACCCAGAACCAGGAGGGGGAGGGCAGGGAGGGGTACCGTCTCATGACCCAGAGCCAGGAGGGGGAGGGCAGGGAGGGTACCGTCCCATGGCCCAGAGCCAGGGGGGAGGGCATGGAGGGTACCTTCCCGTGACCCAGAGCCAGGAGGGGGGAGGGCAGGGAGGGTGCCCTCCCGTGACCCAGAGCCAGGAGGGGGGAGGGCAGGAAGGGTACTGTCCCATGACCCAGAACCAGGAGGGGGAGGGCAGGGAGGGTACCGTCCCATGACCCAGAACCAGGAGGGGGAGGGCAGGGAGGGTACTGTCCCATGACCCAGAACCAGGAGGGGGAGGGCAGGGAGGGTACCGTCTCATGACCCAGAGCCAGCAGGGGGTGTGCCAGTGACAGAGGGGTACCGTCTCATGACCCAGAGCCAGGAGGGGGTGTGCCAGAGCCAGGAGGGGGGGGGGGGGCAGTGGCAGGGAGGGGGTGTGCCAGTGGCAGGGGGGGGGTACCGTCTCATGACCCAGAGCCAGGAGGGGGTGTGCCAGTGGCAGGGGGGGTACCGTCTCATGACCCAGAGCCAGGAGGGGGGTGTGCCAGAGCCAGGGAGGGGGGGGGGGGGCAGTGGCAGGGAGGGGGTGTGCCAGTGGCAGGGGGGGGGTACCGTCTCATGACCCAGAGCCAGCAGGGGGTGTGCCAGCGGCGCCCCGCGGAGTCCGCCCTGCGTGGAGCGATTAACCTTCGGGCGGTGTGTGTGTGTGTGTGTGTGGCCGGCGCGTGCCAGTGAAAGGCGGGCCGGCAGCCAGGGCCGCGTCTCCTCCTCACCAGTATAAAGCCGTCACCGGAGCCTCAGCAACACACAGAGCCCCCCACAGCCGCAGACATGAAACAGGTACAGCAGTGTGGCACGGCATGTGCCCCCCGTGACTAGAGCTAGGCTGGTGCCTGCTACAGTGGTGGTGGTGGTGGTGGTGGTGACCGTGGTGGTGTCGCCCGTGTTGTGCTCGTAGTGTAATGGTCCGGGCGTCATTTAAGACACACACGGATGATTCATTTCCATCTGGCTATTGCTCTGATATATTTGTTGAGGGATTCTAAGATACCGATGCAATGCTGCATTTCATGTCAACTTTTGTTGATTCAACGCAATTAAGTTGTCTTCAGACATATTCCGTCGAAATTGTTGTTTGAATTCATCATGCCTATTACTAATGCTAGATAAGGCGATGCTTCCTCTCTACTTTTATGACATTAAGTTAATACAAAGGGTAACTGAAGCGATGATTCGACAAAATTGCAACAGCTACATCAGTCATGTCTTTTTTATGTTGAAGTTGGAGCCAGTTTGCACTTTTAAGCCTGGAACTCTAAGTTAAGTCACTGAGAATGGTTGTGGAGCGGCTGGAAAAGTCATGTTGCGCATAGGAGCATGCCATCAAATTTTGCGAAAATGTTAGAGTTAGAAGTTCCGTTGGTTAATGGAGCGACTTGCCGAAGAAACCACAATAGCTTGTTGTAAATTATTGGCAGTCGCCTGCAACTAGAGTTCTCCTTCATTTTCAGCAATGTTCTTACCTTCCTCCTAGCAATATTACTTTACAGAGATGCTCGTTCTTCGTCTCGTCTTCGGTAGGCAGTGATCTGTTTTAAGACCAGTTGACCTGTGACCCCTTTACGCTCAGCTCATCTGACCTTTCGCGGCCCAGGCGACTTATTATTTTGCAAACACAGATGGCATATGGCCCTTGTGACCCGCGTTCACCGGTGACCTGACGTGACCCACAGTTCTTCGCCGTTGTGTTGCTGGCCGCGGTGGCCAGCGCCGCTGAGAAGGAGGACCTGAAGGCCGAGGGCTCGCACCAGGTCTCCTCCTACGGTCACGGGTAAGTCCCGGCCTCCCAGACAGACTCGCCCCGAGCGCCAGCCATTGGCTTGCTTACAAACTCTTTACCCATTCGTTGACTAGAGGCACTGAAAGCGTTGCCATAGCAAAGTACCATTTACGATGCGTTTTGTTCCATTACAGCTTGGTTCAGGGAAGTGACAGTGGCCTGTGCTCAATAAGTCACCACAGCACCATGGAAACTGGGAACGTAATTGTAAACATCTCATGAGAAATAAAACATCAGGAACGTGCTTGGCTGTCGGGCATGGCACACCACTTATCTACAGCTGATGTGTGTGTGTGTGTGTGTGTGTGTGTGTGTGTGTGTGTGTGTGTGTGTGTGTGTGTGGTGTGTGTGTGTGTGTGTGTGTGTGTGTGTGCGCGGTGTGTGTGTGGTGTGTGTGTGTGTGTGTGTGTGTGTGTGTGTGTGTGTGTGTGTGTGCGTGTGTGTGTGTTTTCTTGGTTCTTGGTCTCGGCACCAGCCGACCGAGACCAACAGCCCCGAGCCGCCGGCATCGCTGCGCTGGTAATGAATGACCTACTCCGACGGTCACGTGGCCTCGGCTCGGGCCAGGGGCCTCCGGGGGAGGCAGGGCTGCTGGCGGAGCGCGTTGCTGGCGGCGCACCGAGGTTTTGAAGCCCACCTTGGCTCAGCGGGATGAAGACGCATTGGTGCTGAGAGGCGAGAGCATTCCCTAACGTGCGCTTACTGCTAAATACAAAGTGAGACATTGCCAAGAACATGACGAGGCGATCAGTCGTGCGCGGTAGATGACCGTGGTCACACCTAGATGCTTATGACAAAGCGGTCACAGCAAAATCCTGCACTTAACGTCCCCTGATTCTGCGAAGGCAAAAATCTTCAAATGTGGTTTATTTCAAATATTGCCCCAGCAACCACACATGCAAGGGGGCCGGGAAGGCCTCAGCGTGTGCCCATCTACCTCGTCTACCTCGTCTGATCGTCTACCTCGGTCTGCTGCAGATCGTACGGTGGTGGGTACGGCTACGCCCCCAGTTACAGCCACTCGTACAGCAAGACCTACAGCAAGCCCAGCTACGGATACGGTCATGGCAGGTGGGCCAAAGCGGAGAACGCCAGTAGTGGGTTTGGCATTACCTTCATCACATCTGTTTTCACTACCAATGCTTCTGTTGAGCCATAAACGTCACACCGTGCATCACAACGAACATACAAAGGCTGCAAAATATAGGACTGCAGCCGTTACTCAACAAGAAACGGTAAGAGCCACGCTGCAAACATAATTGCCAGCCGTTTGACATCATTAATGAACATGACATCTGTGAATGGCGGGTCTCCTGCCGTCAATTCCCAGTCTGCATTGAGAGCGCACGCCTGCGAAGTGCGCTCTTAACAATCAAACTTCATGTAATTTGTGCGGCCAAATTCACACTTTCCCGCGTTGGACTGCCTGAGCTTACGTTTTGCTACCCATTTCCCAGCTCTGGCTATGGAAAGAGCTACGGCGGCTACGGCGGCTACGGTAGCGGCTACGGAGGCAGCTACGGCTACAGCAAGCCGAGCTACAGCCATGGTTACGTCAAGAGCTACGGCTATTCAGCTCCCAGCTATGGCTACGGCTATGGCAACGGATACGGCAGCGGATACGGGTACGGGCATGGGTGCAGTCATAACAATGCACACGGCAATAAGTTCTGAGCGAAGTGATTGCGGTCTTTGTGCAGTGCCATCTTTTTGGTCTCGATGCTTGACCTGATTTTGTCGAGGCTGTGCTGCCAATGCAGAGCAAGTAACTTAAGGCATCAAAATGCACGCACCATTTGCTCTCATTCAGATGTCTTTTCAGACATGGCTACTCTGGCTACGGCGGTTACTCTGGCTACGGTCACAGCGGCTACGGTCACGGTGGCTACGGACACGGTGGCTATGGCTCTGGCTACGGCTATGGCGGCTACGGCTCTGGCTACGGCTCTGGCTATGGCCACGGCAACTACGGATACGGAGGCTATGGATACGGCGCCCCGGCGTACTCGTACTCTCGTAGCTACGGCTACTCTGCGCCCTACGGCTACGGTCACTAGACCAGCCCCATCGGCACTGCGGTCTCCGCGGCGCCGCCCAGTCGCCGGCCTGCAGCCGGTCCGCACCGGGTCACGTGACTCGGAGAGGCCAGCTGTCGCCGCTCGACGTGCTCGCAGACCCCTCCTGGTCGGCGGTCACTCTTCTGACCACCTGGGGTCGGTTCAGGTCCTGACCTGTCCTGACCTGCCAGTATTGTGCAGGACAGCGGGACACTCGTCCGCGTTAGACCCAGTCTTTCCAGCTTGATTTATTTATGCTCGTGTCGATTGCAGTGCCTGAGGGCAGTGCATAACAATACACGTGTATTTGCAAATGGAGTGCTTTTTCCTGCCTGGATACGAAGGAGAGGTTCAAGAAGACTACATGGCTCGTGCGATCGGGTCACAAAGCAAACCGCTCTGCTATCATCGGCTTCAAATCCCGCCCCTTGATTTTTGGGGGGGGGGGAGGGGCGGGCTGTTAAAGCTTTGATTCGATCGTACTGAGTTTAATAAGTTGACCTGAACGGATCACGTGGGGATTTGGGGGAAGGGATTGTTAAAGGTTTGATTCGATCGTATTGAGCTTAGTAAGTTGACCTAAACGGATCCCGGGAGGATTTCGGGGACTGTCAAAGGTTTGATTCGTTTGTATTGAGCTTAGTAAGTTGACCTGAACGAATCACGTGAGGATTTGGGTGGAGGACTGTTAAAGGTTTGATTCGATCGTATTGAGCTTAGTAAGTTGACCTAAACGGATCACGTGAGGATTTGGGTGGGGTGACTGTTAAAGGTTTGATTCGATTGTATTGAGTTTAGTAAGTTGACCTGAACGGATCACGTGAGGATTTGGGTGGGGGGGGGGGGACTGTTAAAGGTTTGATTCGATCGTATTGAGCTTAGTAAGTTGACCTAAACGGATCACGTGAGGATTTGGGTGGGGGGGGGGGGGGACTGTTAAAGGTTTGATTCGATCTTACTGAGTTTAGTAAGCTGACCTGAACGGATCACGTGACTATTTTTTCAAAAGTCGCGTCAACGTCCCAGGGCAAGAAGAAAGATGGGGCGGGTTGGGTTAGTTGGCCTGAGCCATGGCACACCGTTGCCGTTTAGAGGCACAGCTTGGACCCTATCCAACTGCAACGGTTCATGGGCATCTGTGTGCATTGTGCACTTGCATGTGTGACACCTGCATCTGCAGCTTATCCTCAGGAGCCGCGTTTCCACCAGGTGTAGTTTACTAATTAGTTGGAGAGGCTTCAGCCCTTCCCAAGCTTGGAGGAAGAGAAAAAAATAAATCCGGAGAAATACGCTTTTTGCCGTATTTTGCCGTTGGGTCTAGACATTCTTTACTGGTCAGGTCCGAACTCAATCTACAGAACTGGGTCACGGCGTTTATGGTTCTGAACGAGCATGTGCTTGACTCTTGGGAATGTTCCACGTTTGCAGATATTGAAGCAAGCATCAGATATGATGAAAAAGCTTGCTTATAACTATTGGTATACTTTTAAATAGAAAAGATCACTCGAGACAACACGAGTTTTTTTTGTTTAGCAAATATGCTGCTCAATACGTCATGGTTTCATTACGTCCTTGTAACTTCACAACATTGATTGGGAGCCAATTGACGGTCATTTTATCTGGAAATCGCGCTCATGATTTGACTTGGCCATGATCGTCGCTTGGTTAATAAAATGACAAAATTTAAATGGCATTATTAAGGCGTCATGGATGCCTAGGTGACATTGGAATAGTCTTCTCGAAGTAGTCTGCACAGCTTAGCGGACGTGTAGCTCAGAAACTAAAGGGGCTTAATTTTAAGAAGGACAAGGCTAAAAACTATATCAAATCATCTTCAATGTGGCCATTTCAGTTCAAAACACAGCACAAATGTGGAGCGCTCCCTTTCAGTGAAGGACTGGTCCTAGGTACGTCTTTCTCTCATCTGTTTGTATTGAGTTTCCTATTCTTCTTCTGTCGTTTATTGCCGTCTGGGACATACGAAAACAGTCCTAATTCACTATCCCGGCTAAGACGAAAGCATGAAGCGTTACATGGGCTCATTTGGCAACTACAAGCGCATGACGTAATAATCACTTTTTGGGGACATTCAGACACGTTGCCATGGTTTCACTGGTGGAGAGGGGAAAAATGTCCACTTGTCTCCGAACTCCTGCGAATTCGGACCGAGTGCATGATAAATCGTGCAGCACCTAGCGTAAGCCTCTTGCCTCGGGGGGGACACATGACCCAGAGCCTCCCCACCCCCTTGCTAAGTTGTCGGGCAAATGTCATTACCAGCCATGTATATCCCACACTTGCATGTGGTTCGTGGTTGCCATGCATCCACCAACCGTTGTAGACACAGCTATAAGAAATCTGCGCTTTGGAAACCGCTGCCAGAACTTGGACCACAGCTGCCTTACCTCCGATCGGCGGCCGGCGACGAGGGCGCGCGCTGCGGATGACGTCATGGCTGTTACGTTATGCCGTCGCAGTCCGGTGAGCACCAATCAGCGGCCGTCCTGGCGGCCACAGACGCCAGCTGTCGGAGAGGCGCCAAAGACCAAGGTGTGGTCACTGTTGACAGCAGACGAGCCACTGCTCAAGGTCAATGAGCCGTGGGAAGTGCGCCGCGCGATTCTATTATTTGCACAAAGCAGCATTTAAAAGATTACCGAATAAATGAATCTAAAAAAGACCGCATGGTAAAAAATAATCAGCAACATATCGCACCCGATAGATCGTGCCGGACAAAGATTGTGATGTCAAGAGATCGTGACAGGTTATTTTGGCACGGATGTAAAGCGCAGAGCAAAGGATCGTCTGGGATACAAACTGCACAGGTTCGTTATAATTTACGTTAAAACCACACGGGTAAAGGTCGCATGCAGGGGTATTAACCAACGCGAGCATCATTCAAAAAAGGTCGTGATGGCAAACGTTTGTAGCAGACAAACATCGCACGGATTAACAAACATCATACGTACGGCACAAACATCATACGGATGGTTCCTATGGCCGATATCGGTTTCTAGAAGCCATTTCTCAGAACATTTCTTGTAGCTAGTGCCGGACCGACGGACGACGGGACCCATCGCCACACCTGGGCGACCGGGGCTCAACGCATGCCTGGCTGCAGGTCGGCGCCTGGGGAACTGCGGTCGGAGTCAAGCACTGGAGTTTGTGTTTGAAACCTGCGCTCCGGAGACGTCGCCTGTCGGCACAATCATGCCATCAATTCTGGAGATGAGCGCAGGTTTTAATGGCCCGAGTATCTGACACAAACTAGAGAACGCTGAAAAGAAGACTTCGTTATGCGCCCGGCTGCTGGACTTGCCGGATAATGCCTGCATATCCAGCGGATCCCGCCCGACAGTGGTCACCACCCAAGATTCATCACTCTGCGCGAAGCCGTGACAAAAATCAGGGTGGAGTTATCTATTAGATTCATTTGCTGCGTGAAAAGTCGAGTGTGATAGGAGGCTCCTAGCCTGTTGAACCGAATGCGCCTCAGTGCGCGATGCCACCGCTTTCACTCCTGCACACTGGCAGTCATCTTAGTCAGGCTCAGCGCTGGCACCGCACTGGCTCCCGTGCCGTTCCACCTTTGCTGTATGTTGCGGTGCCTGCCTGTCGCGGCACAGCTACGACGTTTATCACAGACAATCTTGATCCCGTGCGACCCTATGCTCACGTTTTTTGAGCGCCATCTCTTTGTTTCGATCATTCGCGCCACGGCCATTACCCCTGAAGATCTTTATCATAACCGTCTTAAGGCCTGAATACCTGTGTTTTGCGGCCGTTTATCTTTGACTTCACATGCTTGGCGTAGGCGTTTTTGCTCACGATCTTTTGCATTCCGATATGTATCCGACATTTTTCATGATCATGTTAATTGCGAACGATCTTTTCTTGCAGTCCTTTCCATTCCATTAACTGCCTCCAGCCCCTTATTATAGCATATTTTCCAGCGCGAGCTTTTCTGATACAATCTTATGCTTGTAATCAACCAACCGCGATACATAATCTTTCATCGCGCAGTCCGTCCATAAACGTGGATACCCAGGATTAGCCAAATATGAAGATGAGTTTACAGTTGCGGAGACAGTTTAGGTGTGCAATCACGCACTCATGACCCCAGCTTCCACAATCAAAAGGTGTAAATTGTATTGTTGAAGACTGCTATCGCTATAAATCTAAAACATCCAACGTCAATATTCAAATCACACGCCAAGTACAGCCTCTTGAAAAGCGCGCATCAGGGCGGTGGACCATGTATACTTCTGCTGCTGATATTTGTAACTGGTCTGATCCGGGATGTGCGGACGGAGAGTACACCCAATCGATGACGCCTCCGCGATTTAGCTGCTCTTGCAAGCCTGCATTCCGATAGATCCCGCAACGCAAGTTGGCCGCTCTTTCGACTGCGGGATGAAAGGGACGAATTATTCTGCTGTACCATTTAGGATTCCGCTCAAATTACCGTGGTGGCTCCCGCATTGTGATACCCAACAAAAAGAACGACCGCAGATGCACATAAAAGAGCAGAGCTATTTTTACAGCGATGGTTTGCGGGAAGGGTTCCAAGCCCTTATAATTGCTAACAATATTATGGTCCAGTGTAGCCACGCCCTTGCTTGGACCCAGGGCTACGGAAACTTTGGTATATTTATAATTACTCAGTGATATTGATTACCACATAATTTCTGCCCCACCGATGTCTTGCAAGACTGCTGATCAATTAGAGGTTCACATTATCGATTCATCCCACCATCCGGAGGCTTCCAACCATTCAAAATCCTCGTGGCGTCAAGACCATCAGACACTCGTAGTTTCGCTGAAATACCTCACCCCATCAGATAATAATTTAGCCCTGTTGGTTTCCATGTATTGTCTCAGTAAGCGCCGCTCGTATGATTTCTTCCGGATGTCTCAGTGGTTACAATCATACTTCGTGAGATCCCGAACTGTCCAAAGCGGTAAGAATGCCTAATGGGATCACTGTCTTTCACGCACGGATGGCTCCAAGGACGCCCGCGTGTCGTGACAAAGATTCACAGCTCCTAGGACGCCCGCCTGTCTGCCTCAAATCTCACAGGTCTCACAGGCCCACCTGACGTGACAAAGTCTCACAGGTCTCACGGGCCCGCCTGACGCGGCAAAGTCTCACAGGTCTCACAGGCCCGCCTGACGCGACAAAGTCTCACAGGTCTCACATGCCCGTCTGTCGTGGCAAAGTCTCACAGGTCTCACGGGCTCGCTTGTCGTGACAAAGTCTTACAGGTCTCACAGGCCCGTCCGTCGTGACAAGGTCTC